GCCGTTCACATACAATAATACTAGGATACATACCTATACATAAACATATATGTATGTATATATATATATAGCTATATATATAAGCATGAATCTCTTGTTGCTGGCATCGGGTCGATGGTCTCTGTGGTGTTTAGCGCACCTTGGGCAACGGCTGCAGCAGCTGGGCCGTCCAGGCCTGGCGATTCGCCACGTTTTCGATTTGATTGCGGCCCAGGCACTTGCCCTGTGAGATGAGCTCGGCGAACTGGGCCACGATGGGATCGCGATTGCAGGAGGCGACGGCGGTGACGGTGTCGGCATGATTCACATAGTAGGCAACGAATTTCATGTCCTCCAGGCTGCCATCGATGATGATGTCCTTGTAGCTGCCATAGCCCGCATAGCGTATGCCCTTGCCGAAGAGCAGGGTGAAGAAGAAGGGCACCGCCTCCATCTTCTTGATGCTGCCGCACATGTTGATCGCCGCAATCCGGCCGTGGTACTGGGCCAGCTGGTAGTGGCCGATGTTGACGCGCGACTGGGCCAGGCCGTAGATGTGGGCGTTGGCAATGTCACCGCCCACATAGACATCGGGCACGTTCGTCTCCAGAAAGTCGGTCACGTCGACGGTGCCGTTCTCATTGACCCGCACACCCGAATCGACCAGGAATTCGGTGTTCGGCCTGGAGCCGGTGCCCATGACCAGTATATCGCATGGTATGGTCGACTCATCCAGCAGGTCCACCTCGATCAGCTCACCCTCCTCGTCGCCAATGATGTTCGTGATGCCGCTCTCCATCAGCATGGTCACATTGTTGTCCTGGAACAGCTTCATGATACGGGCGCCAATCTCCTCGCCGAAGGCCGCCTTCAATGGGACGGTGTCGCGCCCGATTACCGTAACGCTGGCCACCTTCGACACCAGCGCCGCGGCCACCTCCAACGATATGAAACTGGAGCCGAGGCAGACGACACGCGATTTTGGCGTTACCAATTCGAATAGCTCCTGGGCCTCCTTATAGTCGCGCACCGTCCTCACCATCTCCAGGTCGGCACCAGGAATGGGCGGCTTTACAGCCGCACCGCCGGTGGCTATGTAAATCTTGTCATACTTGACCACATAGCCATTGGAGCAGTGCAGCTCCTTCTGGGCCGTGACCAGCTTCTCGGCGCTAACGCCCTGCCACACCTCGATGTTGTTGTCCTTGTAGAACTTCTCATCACGGAACTGTATGCTCTCGATGGGGATGCCCGCGAACTTGCACACCTTGACGCGATCGTACGGCAAATAGGGCTCGCGGCACACGAGGATCAGGCGGCCGGTGAAGCCCTCCTGGCGCAGCGTCTCCACGCAAATGGCACCCGATGGCCCGCCGCCGACGACAATGTAGCAGCGTTCGTCCTTGGGATTACGCTTGGCCATGCTCTTCAGACGCTTGGTCTTCTCCAGATCGGTGCGCTTCATGCGCACCATCACCTGGCCCTCATCGCTGACGTTCACCTTGTAGCAGGGCAGCGAGTCGAGGCCGGGGAAGTCCTCAATGTCGCCCGTCTCCAGGTTGAAGCAGGCGCCATGCCACGGACAACGGATGCGCCCGATGCCCAGTGCGCCCGTGTGCATCGGTGCCCCATAATGGGTGCACTTCGAGCCAATGGCATGCAGTTTGCCATGCTGCTTGACCAGCAGCACGCTGGTATCCTCATCAAAGTCCACCTGCTTCATGCTATTCTCGGCCACCTCGTTGGCCTTGCAGACGGCCACTGCCTCGGTGTACTCCGATTCTTTCTCCACATCGCTGACGGCGAACATCTTCTCGCACTTGGATTGATAGGAGCCGGCGGCACCTGTAAAACAGATTAGCGATCAAATTCTATTCGGGAATGGGTGCGTGGGCAAGGCCCAAGGCGAGGGCGAGGGCGAGGGCGAGGGCGGGGCGACGGTTTAATGTTACGGCTTAACGGGTTTAACGAAATCAACAACATTTAATATGACTTTTTCCCGTTTTCCCAATTTTTTGTTTTTTTTTTTGTTTTTTTTTTTGTTCGGGTTTTCTTCTTGTTTTTGTTTTTATATTTTTTATTTTTATTTTTATAGATCAACTTAAATATTCGAGTAGAAAGTGTCGCCTGCTGCTTCGGCTGGCATAGAAAGCAGCCGCCCAGGTGAGCAGGTGAACAGGTGAACAGGTGAACGGCTCTCAGTTGTTAAAATGTCGTCACTGCATTCAGAACTCTATGCCACGCTGCTCTGCCTGTCGCTGCTGCTGGGCGCAGCTGCAGCAGGAGTCGAGCAACTGGGAGACAAGCAGCAGCAGAAGCAAAAGTACCAGCAGGAGCAGCTGGAGCTAAAACTGAGCGCGCTGCGTGTGCACAAGCAGCTGCTGCAGGAGGAGATTGCCCGTCTGTATTTGGGCACATATACGCCGGAGATGCCGATGCTGGTGGAGGAGCTGCAGCAGCGTCAGCTGGACATACAGCGGCAAATCGACAAGCTGGAGGGCAAGGCACACCAGCCGGATGCACAGCAGCTGGCGCTCAATCTGGCAGCCGACTTTGAGTTTCTGCAGCACAAACTGAACGAGCTCAAAGTCCAGCTGGATGCCATGCAGGCCAACAGCAGTAGCAGCCGCACCACCACTACCACCACCACCACCACCACCAAACCCGAGCTCACTCGCGAGGTGATGCACAGCAGCACGCCTCGAGCTCCAGTTGGCTCGTACTTCTTTACGCCGCTGCTGGCGATGCCGGAGTCGGGACCCAGCGGTGGCATCGCCCAGCCGGAGCCGAACACAACGCCCTCGCTCATCAAGCGGGTGCTGGCCATGCTGCGACCCAATGCAGCCAGCTCGAGCTCCTCCAGCCCACCCAGCTTGCTGCGTGGCAGCCAATGGTCGGAGTCAAAGAACAAGGAGCAGCAGCAGCAGCAGCAGCAGCAGCAGCGACAGCATCAGGTGCAGCTGCTCAGTTCAGAGGAGCTGCTCGCACAGCTTCAGCTGCAGCGGCAATTCCTGGACGATGCCATCAAGCGTATGGAGCTGCTGTCTGTCAAGCAGAGCAACAAGTTCTAATTGGAATCATATAAGATTGCATTTACCATAGCTATAAGTTTATTTTTTTTTGTCTGCATGCGTTTTTTTTTTACTCAATAAAACTTTTTTTGGAACCAGTTGTGGAACCAATTGCATATTTAACAATTTGCATGGAATTTCACTGAAAAACAAAAAGGCTTACATGCTCGAACTAGCTGTGGAACTATTTTTTGGAACTAGTTCCGAGCTACTATAAACCTATTGCGGAACTAGCTAAAAACTTATGCCGTATTGGCTTAAAAATAGACGTTTATTAAGAGCTCTTTAGCCACGGAACAATGTTGGAACCACAACTGGGAATATGGAACTAAGAACTGTGCAGGAATTAGTTTTGGAAACAGTTGAAGAAATGGCTCATGCCTGCTGGAACTAGAAGATCTATGAAAACAGTTTTCTTATATATATACTGTTGGTATAGACTAATTGGAGCCAGTTATTGAACCGTTTAGGAATCAATGTTGAGAAGTTTAAGGCTCGCTGAAGAAATTGAAGTGGAACTACAAAAATGGAACTAAATTATGGAGGTACAAAAATGGAAATAAATATTGGAACTACAAAAATAGAACCAAATTATAGAATTGCAAAAACTGAACTAGTTCAGCATTTCTAGAGCTCAAATAACTCAAATAAAATTCTAATTGAAATTCAAAAGTGCCTTCAGCGAACCGGAACAAGTTCCTAATCGCAACGCATTTCATTTAACAATAAATATGGGCTCTACAACGGAAATATATCTCAGGATAGAACAATAGATCGACAGGATTCGACTGGAGGCTATTAAAACATTCAACTCCATCAAACGAAGTGAGTTTTATGATTTTAATTTGATTTCTCCGATGATTAACAAGATGATTTGCAAATTTTTCAAGTGCCAGACATAGGTGTACTGATAAGAACTGAACAATCACGAATGTTAGATAAAAAATTGGACATGCCGCATGTGAACCSAACTGCTACATATGTATGTATGTAGTTGTCAAGGCTGATCGGAATATATATTTAGTATATATTTAGAATCAGCCGTAAAGCAAATCGAAAGGACTTTCACTTTTTCAGGCCGTCTTTTTTTAATGGATTTCGCAATGACCACAGATAATCGATATGTCTTCGAGGGCAAAGCAAAGTCAAAAATGCGCTGCGTCATGTTGGCATGTAAAGACGCCCATTTCCATGTCTAATCAAATAATCAATAGGGCGGAGCCCAAAACTGGATGACGGCTAACAATGTGACAAGCAAGCGACGATGACTTATAGCTTAGGCAATTGAAATGGTTATTGGAAAGGCGTAGGTATAGCTAAATGAGGAACAGAGATTGATCTACGATGTAGATCTGGATATAGATACGGATAAAGATATAGCTAGATATACATATGGATATATACATGCAATACAATTAGAGTCAATTGGAGTTCAGGTCTAAGAATCAAAGCTAAACTAGTCTCTGCCTACCAGCAAAAACCATCAAGTTAATGAAAAATTATCATCGCTTCCAAGATTTATAGCTAAACGTGTCTCTGATTATCAACCAAAGAAATCCCCAGTTGAATTTATCGTAACAATTATCTGATTTCTCGGATTATAAAAAGAACTAGAACCTGAACTAGTTGTAAATTTCTTAAGCTAAAGGAAAAACATTGCTTAAATCAAGTCAACGATTTTAAAAGCGGACTCTCATTAACAGCCTGGGACAATTGGGCTATAATAATTGATAGCAGCTGGCGTGCCTAAGGCTTTTAGCTAAGACAGGAAAACCTACGAAAAGGTCTAGAGACCTGTAAATTATAGAGGTTTATAGGCTTGCCTATAGCGCATTTTAAATTCATAATTATCGATTACTTTTGAATGATTTTCATCGATCCGAAATTGCGGTTATCTTAGCTTTGCATGTAATATTTTAATAGAGTCAAAACTGTCTTGAAAAATATATATTATATTTCATCAAAAATTGACTTTTTGGAATACTTTTGATCGATAAGAAAAACTGTAAGTTTGGGTTTGTGAGCAGGTAAAAATAACTTTAAATTAATCATAGTTTTTTTTTTCTTTTTCAAAGATTCATTTCAACTCATTGAAAAATTCGGAATGTGCGTCATGTAAGCTTGTGCTCGACTAGCAGATACCCTAGCTGCCATAGAGGAAAATGGAGTACTACTGTTGGGATACTATAACTACGATATATCAGAGATATACATATGTATATATTTTCATTCTTAAACACATTGATGAGCCGCGCCGATCTAGCCAGATTCACACCTGTTTTAGTATTGCCATGCTTACCTGTTGCATGAGTAAGCAAAAAAAAAAAACTGCCTGTTTTATTTACTTTTTATGAGTAAATTCATAAAAAAAAACAACAAACCAGCCCAACAAAATGACGTCATAATTTTAAAGTAAAAAAAATAGGAAAAAACCCGAAATGCAAGGGAAAAGAACAAGTTAATGAATCAGAGCTCAGCTAAAAATCGTAATAAGTTAGTGTAATTAACATGAGTAGAGCGTAAATTCAGAGTAAATTCACACACACACGTACACAGAGACACGTCTTGGCCTTGTCATATGCTCAAAACAATTGTAATAGTAAATGTATAAAAAAATATAATGAAATAAGCAAAGCAAAGCAAAACAAAAGAAAACTAAGCAAAATATGTTTCTGTTTCTTGGTCTTAGCCTGATTTACCCACAAGCAACAATCCGTTTGACGGCTTTTTCAACTGTTATTGTTGCTGTTATTATTATTGTTATGAAGTCTATAAAAAAAAACGCCACTCGAAAGCTCAAATTCGAGATAAACTGAAATTGCCGCCGTTCCAGCTAAGTTGAGAGCGTAAACTGAGAGATATTTATGCTGAGTGGGTAGACGAAGAACGACTGGGGACCGAGCAGAACTATTTAACCGACCTCTCTCTCACACACTCTCTTCCGACTAGCTGATGCTCTTTCACTATTATTGATTCATAATTAAACAATTGCCGATTGGAAAATGGAAAATTTGATTGCGTGTCGAACAGCAATTAGAGACAATTAGAAAGGTAAACGGAACTCATTACAAGAAGAGTGAGAGAGAAAGAGAGAGAGAGAGACAAGGTAAACGAAACTCATTAGAAGAAGAGTGATAGAGAGAGAGACAGAAAGAGAGATAAAGAAGCAGAAATAATAATGTTGAGATATATTTATATGCATATATGAATATATGTATATATATTGATATACATATATAGACTAAGCTACATTGCTGAAAAAGGCAGGCGAAAGCGCTCTCCCTCTCTCTCTCTCTCGCTCGCAGTCTCACATGTCTTAACATGGAACAATGCTCTAGTCATAATAGATCAATTCGGGATATATGTTGATATATACGAATATATACGTATCTCATTTCGGTCTCTCGCTCTCAGTTCTCACTTTACTTTTCATGGAACAAAGCCTAGCTCTAGATATAATTGATCAGTTTAGGGATTCGCTCAGTTGTCTTTTGTCTTCTAGTTTGTTTACTATTCGTTCTTCAGCCTCGTAATACCTGAATTCTGATCCGGATTGGGCGTAACTTTGCCAGTTGTTTTGTATTCCTTACAGAGCATGGAACCCATTGTGTGTATTTGTCTATAATTCGAATATTTCGGTATGTTCTCCAAGCACTTCAAATGCCTTCTCAAATGCGCTTCAGTTAATCTATATAGAAGAGAATATTTCTGGTCAAAATCAGATCAGAAATTATATAATCTATATATGTACATACCTATGTGTCGCCAATGTATATAGAATTGGTTTCTTTAGCGTATGCGCTAGGCGATAACTGTTTAGTAACCTGAAATCAAATGTAATTAAATGAGATGCAAAGTTAGTTTCACATTTTTTTTTCTTTTCTTAAATTTGTTTACTTAATAAATAATCAAAAGTGCATCAAACAGAATCACAACATTAAAAGAAAACACACACACACACAAAGGAAATTTCGCACGCCCAGCTCCCACTTCATTAATAAGTTGTTCATGTAGGGCATGCACTGTTCGCTCATGCGGCGGATTCACTAGTTCACTCGTGGGCAATCTCTGGGGAAGGAGTGTGTTAGGGTTTTCTTCGATTACGACATATTGCCTATTGCACTCGCACACTCGCCCGCTCTCCTGCTCTCCCGCTCCCACACTCTCCCATTCACGCCGTCTTAGAGCACTTGCGCACGCTCTCTCGCTCTCTCTCTCTCACTCTCTTGCCAGACGTTCGGCTTTTACAGTTCACAAACCAAAACAAAAAAGAACAAAAATATACGAAAAGACGAAAAAAATAACGTTTATGGCAAAGAATGTGGAAAACAAACCCGGCACAACAGACAGATGCAACAGGTATCAAAAGCGGAAGATGTGAACGCGCTACCGTGGACAGAATCTTTCGTCTCCTTAACACACGCACTGGCCGAATCTACGGGCTTTTCTTATTATTATTATTTATTATTTGTTTTRTGGAGAACACACGTCCGTGCTCTGCGAGCTGCGAATCGAGTATGCGGCACAAACAAATACAAATTTTTTATGTAGAAATAGCAACTTCGATAGTAAGCGACGCGACGCCGTCGAGCGTTTACATGTGTATTGATTGTGCTGCCGCCGCACATGCACACACACACACACATACAGCTGTGTGTGCGTGTGTATGAGACATTTGGCTTTGGTCAAAATTGGAGCCCATACAAGCGGCGAAGCAAACGCTTCGACCTTGTCGCCGCTCTCCACGCAACAACAACAACAACAATAATAATAAGAACAAGCACAGGCACATTGCACAGGCAACAAGCGGTTACCACGCCCCTTCGCTACCCTACCCGCCTCAGCCCAGCAGTTACCGGTTTGGAGCAACAGCAACCGCAGCCGCAGCAGCAGCGGTCGCAGCTATTGCCAATTAAGTGAGAACCACAGCTGCCAGGTGTTTAGCCTTCAAGTGATTTGGCCATATCAACGTTAGTCAGCGCTCACTGTAGCGAGCAATTTGTAAGCTATGCGTAAACTACTTAGCCTAGCGGATCTAATAAACAAAAGACAAATGCAACAAATAAATAATTATCAAAAGCAATCATCAATTAAAAACGTAGTCAGCGAATTGAAATCATTTCTAATGTAGTTTTGTCACCGAGAGAATAATTTAATTATTTTTGCAAGCTTAACGGTTTGCCTTAATGATCTTTCACTGTCTTCGTCATATGAACAGTTGCTGGTTCATTCATCTCTCTCATACTCTCTCTCTCTCTCTGCTTTTAACTAATTAATTGGGACACGAAAATTACACTATACGTATATATGTGCATATGTATGTAGCTAAAGCAGTTTGTCAATCTGACTGCCAATTTTAATTAACATTAAACTAAGTGTTGTTAGCTGATTTAATTCATTTTGCTTTTGTTTGAGGCATTTGTGGGTTTTTTTATTTTGTGCATTCAGTCGGCACGTCGCTGATAAGACGGCTTTACGAAATAAGTAGGAGGAATATACGCAAGTCAATGGTATTCGTAATTATCTATTCAAATGAATACAACATATGCATTATTTAATATATGAAGTTGTTGTAACTAACTTACATGTTTCTTGTTGAGCATATTAGTGGCCAAAGTTTGTTTACATATACGCGGAGCTTTTCTTGTTGTTTGTTAATTATCGGTAGAAAATGAATAAATCGAATTACAGCAATAGCATCGATAATTGAGCATAACAGCTGTTCAATTCTGTTAAGTTAACAGAAGCACGCCACTAGTACACAAACTTTGCGACAGGTGGCGCATCAACACTAATTGGCGCCAAATTCAAAAAATAGCTTTAGCACTGATATCAAGCAAATTCAACTAAATCACAAACATGTACATATATATGTATATGTATATACAAATTGATTAAATTAAGCTTTAATGTGCGTTATATGCGAGGTTAGCTGTGAAAACTGTGCTGCAACACAGATTTTGCTTCTTCCTTTCGCTATGCGCTTGCTAAACAATAAACAAGCGAATTAATTAAAATTAATTGATATTATTATTGCAACTATTTGTAAGTGCTGCTAATATATTGTATAAAGGTCAGCCGCATGTCCACCAACATTATTCCATATATTATTATAATGTCAATGATTAATTGATTACTACTTCTGATTAAAATTGCGGTTTATTGTAGTCCTAATCTAAATAAGTATATAAATTAATAGGTGATCTATATATGTATATATACTATGTACATATATATAGAGATATATACATATGTATATACATTAAGCAGTTGTTATTTGTTTACAACTTGCTCCACGCGTTGCCCAAGTGATTGCCGTGTGCCGATTACAGATGTTGATTTCCACACACACAACACACTCACACATACACACACACGCAGAGCGCCAATTCATGGAGCCATGCAGCAACTGAATCTCTCTAGATTAGGTTCAAAGGTCACAGCCTGACACACACACACACAGATAGAGAACGGCTCCCGGCCAGGCCATTCTCTTACTTTTATTAACATGATTTCTATTCACGTTTCAATTTTCTTCTTTTTTTCGGCTGCTGGTGCATTGTCCCCAATTGCGTGGCAACTCTGGCCAAGGTCGCGCCTGGAGACGGGGCGACAACCTTTCGCAGTTCAAATGCCTAATTCACAGTTAGGTGCTGGCAACCAAGTAGCGCTATATTATATATATATGTACATATATAGATATTTGTGTGTGTGTGTGCATATAATTTTTTTGCACTGCATGTGCGCGGCGTAGCTCTGTTCCGTTAGGCACAATTTCATTTGTCTGCTTCTTCTGTGTCCTCTACTTCTTGTTGTTGCTCTTTTTTTCTTTAGGGAACAAGTTGACCTTGGAAGCGTGCACCGTGGTACAAGAATGGCATATGTATATAGTACACATATATGTAAATATATTT